AGGAAAAAAATAAAATCTTTAAAAAAAAAATGACAGAGATGGAGGACAAGTTAATGGTGCTGGGGGCAGCGATGGAGCTGGGGGTGGCGACTATAAAGGGGCACAAGGGACATCTTTGTGGATGGAGCAGTTCTGTATCTTGGTTGTGGTGGTGGTTACACAGATCTATGTACATAGGATAAGTGTGCAAAGACCTACACACACACACACACACACACACACAAGAGCGTGTGATAGCTGGTGAAAACTGAGCTCTGTAGTCTAGTTAATGTAAGTGTCACTAGATGATTACTTGGAAAGGACAACACAACTAGCTGGTTTTGATTCTGTACTACAGGTGTGTAAGATGCTGCCACTGAGGGAAGCTGGGTGACCCTGTACTATTTTTACAAATTCCTGTGATTCCATAATTATTTCAAATTTTTAAAAATTAAAAAAAATATATCTCCCAGAAAGTAGAACCAAAAGGCAACACAGCAGAGTGAGAAAAGGTGCTGAGACGGTCAAGGTGACCGAAGGAGGCCTGGTCCCACCTGGACCCTGCACCTGCGCTAGCTCCCAGGTCCTGTCCTCACTCCCACCGTTGGGGGAGGTACTGTCCATGGTTCTGGCCAAGACCAGCCATCCTGTTAGGCAATGACTCCCATCTCTTCTTAGTCAAATGCGTTCCAGCGGGTTCTTTCTCTCTCTCTGTCCCACGCACCTTCAACAAGATCGTCCCTCCCAGATCCTACAGACACACTGTCCTGTCTCCCATCTGTGTGCACCGCACCCTACACCCCATCCAGGGACTAGAGGTTCAGAGCGAGATGGGCCGTGCACGCCTGGTGGGAGCGTGTGAATCCCCAGCCTGCCGCATTTGTAGAAAGAAAGGTCTGGAAGGTCAGACACCAGAATCTCAACCACGGCTATCTTGGTGGTGAGACGGAGCGATTTCTATTTTCTTCTTTGTATCTAACTGTTTCCTAAAGTTTATGTAATAAAAAGATTACTTTTGAGATAGGAAAAAAATCAATACGAGTTATTATTCTATAAAATGCCAACAATGGTCCCCCACTGCCCACAGCCCTGTTCTAATTTCTTTACACTTGGGAGGCAGGCCATCTGAGCCTGGCTCTCCTACCTCCCTGGTCCCACAGCCCCCAGCCCCACCCCTGCCCCACTTCTGGCCTCCAGCTGCACCTACTTGCCCCTCTGGCTGGGGGTGGGGTGGGGTGGGTGCCTGAGTCCCTGCCCTTCTCTCCGAGTGGAACTCCCCTCTCTGCCCCCACATCTCTATCACACCGACTCCTGTTGTCCTTCAAGGTCTTGAGCAATGGCCCCTGGAGAAGTCTCCCTACTCCACGAGGGAAGTGACGGCGTCCTCCTTCTGCTGCCCCAGCGCCTGGCCAGCGCACGTCGGACGGCCGGGTCAGCGGCTGCCCCTTCCAAACGGCCGCCACGCATCTCCCATTCACGCCGCCCCCCCGTCTTTGCCGCACCCTTCTCGCCCTGGCTCTCTCCATGGTCTCAAGTGTATGGACTTCATCCTGGGCTTCAGTTTTCTGGCCATTCAGTCAACGGGGAGCCCCACAGGGGAAGGGAGGGAGGAAGGGAGAATGGGGTGGGGTTGGCACACAACCCCTACTTCCTCCTTTGGGGTCCCCTCTGCCTGGTGGTCCACCACCGGAGGCCCTGGTGGGCCCTCTGCATGGTTCCCTCTCCCTCCAGCTTCTCCCCTCATCCAGCGGGCCGAGGACTGCTGCCAGCTTGGCGCTGCTATCCCCAAGGGTCCCCTCCACCCTCTCTCAGGAGAGGGTCCCTTTGCAGGCCACCGCCCTTGAATTATCCTAGTTTGGGTGTCACCTCTTTCCTGTTGGGACGGTGACTGATTCACTCTCAAGCGAGGGGGCCAGGTTTCGCTGGCGTGTCCAGCACGTCTGGTGCACAGCCGGTGCTCTGTAATCGCACGTGGAATGAAGGAATCCTCGAGAACATCCATCTTGGAGTTTCCGCCCTCTGTTCTCCGTGGCCCGTGCCGCTGAGGGAGGGGGTCACCCACGGGCCTCAGGGGGCCCTAACTCCTCCCTCCCGTCTGTCACCGCGTGCCGCTGTGGACGGGGTCCCCCTCGCACCCCTGGACGTGAGCTCAGCCACGTGACTTGCTCTGGCCAACGGAACATTAGCAGGTGTGACGCGGCGGGGGGGGGGGGGGGGGCTTCCAGACCCCACATCTCACAGAACAACATGAGCTGCCCTCCGGAGCTGCCCCCCAACCCCGGGAAGCCAGGCCGATCCCAGCCGCAGGACTCGCCTCACCCTCCCAAATCTCCTCCACCCCGTGCTCTGAGCTCAGTTCCGAGCCCACAAGGACGCCGACCTCTCCCCACTTTGTAGCCTCCGCCCCTCCTTCCTCACCGTGGTTTCCTTGTATCCAGACCAAACAACACCTCTTCCAGGAGGACTTCCAGGCTCTTCCCAAGCAGGAGTTCCCATCCTCCCCCCGGCCTCTTGTGACCCATCCTGAGCCGGGTCACCTCCGTCTGCAGCCAGTGCCCTGCTGGCTGGGAGCTCCTCCAGGATGGGGGTGGAATGCATCCCTCTCTGGGCTCCGACAGGGTTTGCACAGAGCCCTGCACACAGCATGTGCCTACTAAGCGTGTGCATCTTCCCCTGTGTGGGTCCACTCTTGTCAACTCCACGACGACTTCCTTCGAGCGAAGGACACGGTGACATATGGGTCTGTGTCCCCAGGACTGGCTGGACACGGGGCAGCTGGAGCCGCCTGTGTCCGACCCTGGGCGGGCTGAGCTTCTGGAACGGGCATTCTCGCTGCTCAGGACCCATCCCCTCCCCCTCTTCTTGCCCCCCCCATCCCCAGACCCCTGCTTGGTGGCAGCTCTCGGTGGTGACATGTCCCTCATACACACCTGGCCCATCTGTCCTGTCATGCTGCCTCCCCAGGGCAGGCACCTCTATTCTGTGCCCGTCGTTCTCTGATTCCCTATAAATAGCCCATTTCATCTCCTCGGTGACAGCAAGCAGCAGGATGAGGAGGCCTGGCTTCACTTCCGTCCCACGGCCAGGACAGTCGCCACGTTACTGTGTGACCTTCGGCGAGGCAGGCCCCTCTCTGGGCCTCTTCCCACCAGCCCTGGGACCTGCCTCCTCTCCCTGCCCGCGCCCTCCTGGGGGTGTGGCCTCATCACCCTCAGCCCACTCACTTGTCAGGCTCCCCTGGGATGCTCCCTGGGGACCCCATGGCCGAGGGTGAGCTGGGGGAGCCCAGGTTTGTGGGGCCAAGCAGGGAGGGGCAGGGCACGTGGTATCCTTGGAAATGACCCACTTTGGAGGGGCTCAGTTGAGGGGGGCCCATGTGAGCCGAGTGGGGTCATGCAGCCCACGTGGAGCCTCACATGCGGGACCTTAATGGGGTCACCCGAGCACAGAAGCCAGGACTGTGTGGGCCAGCCTGGAGGATGGGCCCTGTCCACGGTGACAGGTGGCCACAGGGGCCAGGGAGTCGGAGGTGGGCCCTGTGGGGAGCCACTGGTTTCCACTCAGTCTCAGAAAGGAGCCCAAAGCAGGAAACTGCTACTGTGGAAAGGAGTGAGCGTCCTGTCAGTAGGGGCGTGCAAGCAGGGGCTGCTGATCTTAAGGGCTTCTCCCACCCCGAACATGCCACCCACGCCGCCCTCCCTCCTCTGCCCCCTGCTGAGTCAGGCTGGAGCCCCGAGTCCTTTTCTGGGGACCCACCACACCCTGAGGACCTGCTGCCACCCTCTGCTCCCTGCTCCAGCATCTCCCAGGGCTCCCATTGCCTCCGGGATCCAGTTCCAGCCCCCCACGCATGCCTCCCTGGGTCTTTATTGGAAATTGAGGCTGGGAATGGGTTTGCTCTGGATGGAAGGGGTGAGAGCAGGGGTCACGAGGCAGAGGGTCACTGCCACCAGGCAGGGAGCAGTGGCTGGAAGACTTGGCATCTGGCAGGGGGGCCCGTCAGTGGAAGGGAGGGGCCGGGGGGTCGCCCCTTCCCTGCAGGGTCCTGGCCTCCCCCTCTCCCCCAGAGAAGGCGGCTCTGCTGGACCCAGGGCTGGGGGTGGGCGCAGGGACCCCACTCTGCTGGCACGTGGACGCGAGGGCTTGGCAATGGCCTCTCCCCCCTGAAAGCCTTGCTCTGGCTCCTGACGGGCAGGACAGCGGGAACCCATGGCTGAGGCAGCAAGCAGCACTGGGCTAGCCACGGAGAGGGACTTCCTGTGGGCTGGGTGTTGGGAGCTGGTCTTCTCTGGAGATTTTGAAGCACGTGGTGCTGTGCATCTGGGCACTCAGACCGCTCACTCTGACCTGGGGGCTACACCAAGTGGGCAGGGGAATGGGCCAGACGCCTGTGGAGGGGGGCCATGGGTCTGAGAGGCTGGCTCAGGGCTGCAGCGTCCCCAGTATCAGGGGCTCAGGGCACTTCCCCTGTAGGGGCGGCTCCAGCTTTGCAGGGGACCCACCCGACACACGCTCCAACCTCTCACCCCTGCTGACACCCAGACCCACGCCCTCCACACTCACCCTCACCTCTGGCTGCCCACAGCCCACTCACACCCACTCAGCTTCCCGGCTCTGTGCACGAACACCTGTTCACACGCACAGTCAGATACACACAGCACAAAAACCACCTCCAGACACCTGGATCTTCTTGCACACCCACTCACGCCCAGGGCCCCGCACCCACCTCCCTCAGCTCCCTCCTCCCCCGTCCACACGTCCTCTCGTCCTCAAAGCCGCTGGACATTGTCCAACCCCGTGTCGGCTGCTTACTTCTCCCACCAGCTCTCACGTGTCCCCTCCCGTGGTCACTCAGGGTCACGCCCATCCTCCAGGAAGGAGAGCTCAGTGGTGCCCACCTGTAACCCCAGCCCCACCCCATGGCCCAAATCAATAAAACCACCGCTAAACCAGACATCAAGGGAACCCCAAATCTTTCCCTAAATCCCACAGCAAAAATCCAGGCCAAACAAGTATTTGGGCTTTTTCCTTTGCAGAATTTTTTTTTTTTAGTAGACATAGTCTTTTTTTTCTTCTTTCTCATTTTACAGCAAACATTGCAAATATAGAAATATTTTTCTGTACAGTAGGACGATGACAGTGTACAGCGGGGATGCGGCCGGAGCACGCAGGCCCAGCCCACGCCCCTCCCGGCCACCCCCGAGCCGTCCACGGCACAGTCCTCCCCCTCGAGTCCCGCGGGGCTCCAGGATGTCCCTGAGGCCACCCGGCCGCCTGCATTCTCTCTGCCGTCTTTGGTGGCCTCCGGAGGTGGCAACGAAGCGACGGACAGGACAGAATCCACAGCAAACCACGGACAGAGGAGATGACCCGGGGAGCCAGGTGGTCACGCCGGCCACACGCCCCCCATGTCTGTTGTTATATCTTATTAAGAGAACTTGACTTTTATTATTTTTTTTTAAAAAAAGGAAGAAAAGAAAGAAAGAGAGAGGAAAAGAAAGAAGGCAGAGAAGAAAGACAATGAAAAAAAATTCCCATCCTCACCCCCATCCCTAAGACACAGTTTTCCGAAGTCCCTTGTGTGTGTGTGTGTGCGTGTGCATGTGTGTGTGCACAGTGTGTGCGCGCAGTGTGCGCGCAGACAGGCTGCTCACTCCGGGGGGCCCGGCTCGGCACAGGAGTGCGCACCCGGCCGCGGCTCCCTTCCGTGGGTACCCTGGGCCCCCCCCCCACCTTCTCCGCGGGGCCCAGCTTCAGCGGCTGCTGTCACGCGTGTGCACGCGTGTGTGTCGGGTTCGCGTGAGAGTCTCTGGGTTACAAATAGCTGCAATGAGTTTTGTGTCCTTTTTGGTCCAGTGGGCGTCACGAGTTGCGGGCGGGCGGGGGCGGAAGGGGAGAGCGGGGCTCAGGACTTGTGCTGCGCAGACACGCCCTTCCAATAGTCCAGGATGTCGTGCAGGTCCTCATCCTTGGCAAACTGGACCTTCTTGCGCAGCGCGTGGCCGGCCGCCATGAACTCCGCGTCATCCTTGTGGCGTCGGCGGCTCAGTCTGAAGCGTTCCCAGATGCTCTGGGAGGCCCGGCAGGGGTATTCGGGGCTGGAGGAGTAGCTCAGATTGTGGTACTGTGGGGACAGCTGTGAGTAAGCCAGGTCGCGAGGCCGCGGCCGGGTCAGCGGCTCCAGGATGGACGGCTTGCGGCCGCCCAGGCTGTCGTGGGGCGGAGGCACGGGGGGCGCGGGCGGCTCGGCGGGGTGGGAGCCGGGGTACGAGTGCCGGTGCTCGCCGTACTGGCGGCCCTTCTCGGCCTCGGCCCGCAGCACGGCGGCCGCGGGCGTCACAGTGAGGATGGCGTCGGCCGCGGGTGAGCTCTTCTCGATGTACTTGGCCTCGGCGGCCGCGGCCTTGTGTACCCCAGCGGCCTCGGCACGGAAGGCGCGCGGGCTGCGCATGGAGCCGCCGGCCGGGGTGGTGGCGCGCGGGGGTCCGGGGGCCGCCTCCACGCTGTGGTGCCGCTGCAGGCCGTGGGCGAAGGTGTCCTTGTACACGGGCGACAAGAAGCCGTGCTTGCCGGCCAGCGGCTCGGACAGAAGCACCAGCTGTGGCTCGGCCGTGGACACGGCCCCGGACTTGCCGCCCTGGAAGGAGGTGGACTCAGACTTGAGGGCATCGATGCAGTTGTTGATGATCTGGTTGACCTTGTCCACCTCCTTGGCGATGGTGGAGATCTCGGCCACCGAGCTCTGGCTGTCGGGGCCCGGCCGGCCCAGCTCGCAGTCCCGGTGTTCCGCGGGCTCCCCAGTGCGCACCTCCATGTAGTTGCCCTTGCTGGCCTTCGGGGTCTCGCTGCTCTCCACCAGCTTGTACTGTTCCACCTCGCTGGCGGCCGCCGGCAGGTATGGGATGCGGGTCACAGCCTCGGGGCCCAGCAGCGGGCCCTGGGACAGTGGGGCCAGGCCGGGCGCCTCCATCTCGGGCCCGTACTTGAGCTCGATGATGGTTTTCTTGAGGCTGCCGGCCGCGGCCGCCGAGGCCGCCTTCTTGTGCTTCTCTTCCTGGCGTCTCCGCTTACGCAGGCAGTAATAGACAGCGCCCAGCACCAGCACCATGCCGAAGAGGCAGCCCAGGATGGTCATGATGTAGTGGGTGGCCGTGGAGGGGCTGGGCACAGGGCCCGGCGGGCTGGGCGGCTTGGGCAGGCAGATGGTGAGGCAGGTGTGGTTATGGTGCAGCCCCGAGCTGGTGGAGACCACACAGTAGGTGTAGTTGGTGAGCGTGTAGAGGTTGGTCAGGCGGATCTCCTCCTGGGCCTTCGTGAGCCTGGACACCGTGGACGACCTGCTGTTGTTGAAATGCTCCAGCGTGTACATGCGGTTGAACGGGCTGGGCAGCTGGACCGTGATGGTGGCCGAGTTCTGCGTCAGCTGCTTGACCTTGATGAGCGGACGGGCCTCGGCCTGGGTGGCCAGCGTGGGCAGGGCCACCAGCGGCGTGGTGCCGTCGCCAGAGAAGCACTCGTCGTCGGCGCAGGGGGCCTCGCTGGGCTCGGGGGGCAGCGGCGGTGGCGGCGGCGAGCGGCCCGACGGCGAGCGGCCCGGCAGCGGGTGGGGCTCGGCCGCGTAGGAGCCGTCGGTGCACACGGACTGCAGCTTGCTGAGGATGCTGCGCTGGCCGTGGCGGCCCTGGCCCAGGAGGGAGTAGCCGGAGTAGAGGGGCGGCGACTCGCACTGCATTCGGTCGTAGGTCTGCGTGGCGTTGGTGAAGGCCGCCAGCCAGCGCAGGAAGCCCAGGAGCTCGCAGGAGCAGTAGAAGGGGTTGCTATAGAGCTCGCACACGGACAGCTTGGCCAGGCCGGCGAAAGTGGAGCTGTGCAGCCGCTGGATGCGGTTCATGGACAGGTCGATGTTGATGATGTTGGGGCACTCCCAGAAGGCGCTGGGCGTCACCACCTCGATGAGGTTGGCCTGCAGGTACAGGTACTCCAGCTTGCTCAGGCCGCGCAGCACGCCCTCCGTGAGGTTGCGCAGCCGGTTGTAGCCCAGCTGCAGGACCTGCAGGTTGAACTGGCCGGAGAAGGCGCCGTCCTCGATGTAACCGATCTCGTTCTTGGTGAGGTTGAGGTACGTGAGGTTGCCGAAACGGCTCAGCGACGCGTACTGCACGCTGCGGATGCGGTTCTCGTTCAGCCGCAGGTCCACGATGGTGTTGTTGATCTGCTGTGGGATGGCCTCGTACGGCGGCTGGTTCTGGCTGCAGATGGCCAGCCACACGAAACCCTTGTCGCCCTCAATCAGCCAGCAGTCGCCACGGGCCAGCCCGCCCGCGTGCAGCAGGGCGGCGGCCGCCACGCACACCCACAGCGCGCCCCACCGGCACCCGGCCATTGGGACCGCCCTCGCGGGAGACCCCGCTCAGCCTGCCCAGGGGTGGGGGTGGGGGGACTGGGTGGGGGGCCGGGCTGCAGCCTCCGAAGGGACAGAGGGGCGGGAGGGGAGGCTGCTTGCAGACTCAGGGGCGTCCTGTCCCAAACCGCATGGTCGCACGGCGCGAGTGCTGGGAGGGACGCGCCTCCCTCACTGCCCGCCGCCTCTCGTCGTCCGCCCGCGTCCTGCCATGGCCGTGACCTCCGTCCCCATCGGCCTGCGCGTCCGGACAGCTCCACCCTGCAGCTCCAGCTCAGCTGGTCCTGCTGTAAAACAAGAGAGGGGACAGCCGGTCAGGAGGCGCCTGGCGAGCCACAGGGCAAGCGGTCAAGTGTCCAAGCCACCTGGGAAAACAGAGGCGCATTTGAGGAGTCCCAGAACGATGCAGGACGACAGGAAATACTGACTGCCTACTCACCGGGATCATGTTTGTGTGCTGAGGGTGGGAGGGAAGGGCGAGCCCTGGCTCCAGACTGCCTCAGTTTCCTCTTCTGCAAAGTGGAAATGACACCACCTGCTCAGCCACCTGGCGACGGCAGAGAATCGAGAGCATGTGTGCCTGGCCTGGCGCCGTCTCATCGGTGACCCCATTTGTCAGAGGAGGAAACTGAGGCCCAGAAACGAGACCTAAAGTTGCACGGCTGACGAGTGACGGGGCTGCTCTGGCTGGCCCTGGCCAGGGACGCTCATGTGACCAATGCTCTGCTTTGCTGCCTGGAGACTCAGGGGCGCCTCCTCCTCCCAGCAGGGTCCTGCCGGGCCCTCGCAGCCGCCTGCAGGGGGTGCTCTGAGCCCCCGGCTGAAGGGTCCTCCCCTGGCCAGCAGAGAATCTTCCGGAACTCCTGGGCTCGCCTCCAGCTCCTCTCGAGGGAGGCAGCGCCCAGGTACCCGGAGAGCGAGGTTCTGGGCCTGAGCGCTCCTGCCCTGTGGCCCGGGAGCATCATGCTCCTCTGGTCCTCAGTTTACCCCATGAGCCAGCTGGACAGTCTCTGCGGCTTTCCACCCGGCTCAGGGCACCCGGGCCTGTCACCACCCGTCACTGGTGCATCCTGGAAGCAAGCCCAGAAGGCGAGAGCAGCTCTACCCAGAGTTTCCGGGCTCCCCGTGGCCTCAGGCTCAGACGAGGATCTTCTGCTCACACCTCCAACCACTCCAGGCCCCAGACGTGACGGGAGGGTCCCAGAGCATCTTGCTCTCTGCCCCTCCCCCTCGGTCCCCAGCAGACCCTGTGCTTCTCCTGGACAGGGCCCCCTTCTCCGTCTCTGTACCCCTGGTGCTGGCAAGGATGCCCAGGATGTGACTGTCGGACCACAGGCAGGGGGGTGGGGGGCACTCCAGGCAGGAGCCGGGTGCCTGTGGGGGACGTGGCTGGACGCCGTGCAGGGTTTCCGCTCCCCCTCGGACCCCCGCCCCCCTTCCCCCGACAGGAGGACCGCCAGCCGGCGGGACGCGCCCCTCGGCCCCTCGTATTTCTCCCGCAGGACAGACGAGCGGGCGTGCGTCTGCTCGTTAAGCCCTGGATTTACAGTGGCCTCTGTAACCGCTCGGTGGCCTGGCGGGCGGCCAGCGGAGTGTATTTCACCGATATTGACGTTTGCAACTAGTCTGCACCGAGGCGGTTAAATGAGGAGAAAAAACATAATCATGTGAAATAGGATGCTTTTCCCCCCTTTGGAAACTTCATAAAGAATAGTTTTGATCTGGCTCCTGCTTGAAAGAGAGGGGACAGATCAGATGGGGAAGGGGTCGGGGCTGGGGAGACAGCCTGGCAGGCCATGGCGGAGCCCACCCAGGGCTTGGCCCCAAGCTGCTGTGTGATACTGTGCAGAGCACCGGGCCTCTCTGGGCCCGATCAGAAACGGCTCTGGGGCAGGTGGGGTCTTCCTGAGCGTCCCTCCCCAAAGGAGGGAGCCTGCTAGGGAGAAACGGGGATCCTTGTGTGGTCTGGCTTGTGATATAAAGCTACAACGCCACGGGGAGCGTGTCCAGCGCATCTCTATTGCCACCAGCATCTCCACCACCTCACGGCACCTGCTTGCCTGCAGGGGCCTCCCTTCCTCCCTGCCCGCAGTGCACCTGCCCATCCGTCCAGATGTCCGGACGACCTGTGCCCATGTTGTGCTTTATGTCACCCGGGGCTCCTGAGAGGCCAAGAGCCCTCGGCTGGGCAGGCTGTGGGGGTGGCCCGGGAGCCCCCGTTCCCTGACGTGCCAGTGCATCCTAGACAGCGGGCGGGGTGAGGGTGGTGACCAGCCCGGGGCTGACGGAGTCTGGCTCCAGCCCCCGGACGGGGATGTGCCGAGCGGCAGGCCCACTTGGCAGTGTGGCGCCTCAGCAGTGCTGATGGTAATCACCTTTAATCTCTTGCTCAAAATAACCCAAAGTCAAGTTAAGGAGGATTACAGGCCCTAAAGAGCCCTTATCACAGGCAGGCGCTGGCGGAGGAGGGACGGGCCCAGGGCCAGCCAGCCTCCCCCCGCCCCCTCCCAGGGCCCCTCGGCAGGACGGTGGTGGGCGGACCGGGGGCCCTGGAGGCTGGAGAGCCGCATGCACACTCGAGTGCTTGCACACCCGTGTGCTGGGCTCTGCGTCTGTGTGTACTCACGGGTCTGTGTGCCCAAGGGCATAGGCCGGGTTTGTAAGGGGTGAATACATTTCACCACACGTTTATCAGAACCTGCACCAGCACCATCTGATGAGTGTGTGCGTCTGTGTGCGTGCGTGCGTGTGTGTGTGTGCGCGTGCATGGGCCTGCAGGTGAACGCAGCTCCATCTCAGCGTGCACGTCCCAGATCCAGCCAGGTCCCTGCCCCAGCCTCCTCCCCTCCCTGCCCTTTCTGCCACCACCACAGGCACCTCCCCACCCCCAACGTGACAGTCTAGGAATTTGTGCTTCTGACTTTGCACCTTGTGAGCGGCAAGTGGTTCCGGGGAGCAGTCTCACCCCCCCGTGTACCCCCACACTCTGGAGCCTCCTCTGTCACACGGGCTGAGGGGATGGGACATCCTCCCTACCCAGCCTGGCCTCAGGGGGAGGGATCAGCCAGGGGCGTGGGTGGGACCCTGGTGGCTGTCCCCCACACCAGAAAGAGTTGCCTCTGCCCCTCGTGTACCCCCCATGACCCCAGCCTTGCAGGGACCCCAGAGTTCTCATTCCACATCTCACTTTACAGAGGGGAAACTGAGGCCCAGAGAACAGAAGGCCTCATCCGAGGTCACACAGGGAGTTGTCAGCCCGTCCTCCTCCTGCCGGGGGTGGGGGCTGGGCGGCAGGTCCGGTGGAAGCGCCCCGTTCCTCCAGGCAGCCCCTCAGCACACGGGCTGAGCTCCCCAAGCCCCCCTCGGAGCCATCGCGTGCTCCCTCGGAGTTGATCCCCTGGTGGGGGACAGGATGCAGCCCCGTGGGTCTGGGAGCCCTGTGACGCCGGACGCAGGCAGGGCCCCTGGGAACAGCCGTCCAGTGAACTGGCCGAACCACCTCGAAAGGTTCTGCCAGATCACGCCCGCCCCCAGGACGGCCGTTTCTCCTGGGGGCCCGCGTATTTGCTCGCTCGCTCGCTCCACCACGGGCCCCCTCCATCCTCATTCCCCTGCAGACTCACACGCCTGTCCCTTGTGCGCGGTAAGTGGCTCTAAACTACCGTTCCCAGGATGCTCTCAGAGCGCGTGTGGGGCTGGCAGTGGGGCACAGACCAGCTGCCACACCCCAGACCCGGGTCCTGGCACCGGCGGAGGCTGCAGGGCCCTGGGGAGGCCCAGGGCTGTCCCCTCATCCTGCCTGCACCGGCCCCCGTGCTTCAGAGAGATGCAGAGGCCCTGGCCACCTCCAGCTGTACCACCTGTGTCCCCTTGGACCCCTCTGACGTCTCCTCCCGCACCTCCTGCTTCAGCAGCCCCAGCCTCACAACCCTGCACACGGCCCCCAGGGACTTTCTGTGATGGGCCAGGTCGTCTATACTTGCGCGGCCCCACAGGGCAGCCCGTGTGGCTGCTGAGCACCAGAGATGTGGCTGGTGGCTGTTGTACGGGGCAGCATAGTTCTAGAACCTTCCATAAAAAACAAATAACTTGAACTGAATACCTCCCAGCCACCGCCCCGTCTCCCTTCCCCTTCGTGGCAGATTTCTTTGCAAAGGTTGCCAGCAGTTTCCATCCCCACTGCCCCCACTTTATCTTCATTTCTCAGTCCCTCCGGTGCAGCGTCCATCCCCCACGCCCTCGGAGCCCTCAAGGTCACCGGTGACCTCTGTCTTGCCAGCTCCAAAGGGCATGCTTCTATTTTTATCTCTCCCGGCCTCTTGGCAGCATTTGGCCCACGTAGCTGGCCGCTCCTCTTTGAAGCACTTTCTGCTCCAGGTCTCCGAGCCGCCACGTTCGCCCGTCCCAGTCTCCTCCACTGGCCACTGTCCCCTCTTCTTTACCCTGACCTCTAACTGTCCCCGTGGCCAGGCTCCGTGCTCGGCCCTCGCCGCTTCTCCTCACCTTCCCCGGGGTGGTCTCACCCCTCCCGTGGCTTCAATGCTGTCCACCCACGTCGGGCCCCCAGTCCATCTCGCCAACCTTGACGGACCCCCGGCACCCCAGGCTCACAGAGCCAGCGGCTTCCCCTCTCAAAGGCTGTGCCCCCCAAATGGAGCTCTTCTCCAAAAATCGACGTGTCATCCTCGACTCCTCTCTCTCCTCGGCCCCTGGAAGCCCAGTCCGGAAGCCATAGCATTGACTCCACCTCCAAATGTATCCGGGGTCCTCGCCTCCTGCCCCTCCTGCCATGGCCACCCTGGTCCAAGCCACTATCATCTCCTGCGGTGGCCCCACCTCCCACTCCACAGCCAGAGGGGCCTTGAAGCGCCATCGGGGGATCCTGCCACCTCGCCAAGAACTCTTGACGACATCCATCCTCCCACACAAAGGTCCACACCGCGTCCCAGTGCCGCGCACGTCGGGCCTCCCTGCCGGCTCTCGCTCCGTCTGCCCTCTCGCCGGATGCTCCCGGCTCCCCGCACGCACCACCTTCCTCCCCCCGCCCCAGGGACCGCTCTTCTCCTTCAAGTCTGAGAGCGGGCGGCTCCCCCACCGCCGTCCCTGGCTCAGAGTCCCACCACGCTGGGCCCCGGCTGGGACGCGTCAGCTCCCGTGTTCGCACCTGCAAAGTGGGAGGAAAAACGCCTCCTCCCCAAGGGCTGGCGGTTTCTCACAAACATTAGCTTCCTTTCCACGTTCTGTCAGGCCGGCGGGAGCTGCCACCACCCTCTGAGGGGACATGAAA